ACATATGAAAGTGGAAACTCGAAACAGCTAAAAGGATGTCAGAAAAATAAAAAAGAAAGCAAAAGATAAATGTTTAATTTCAGACTACAAATCAAATGGGGAATTTCGAAAAGACAAGTTAACAACTTTTAAAAACAAGTTTTGCGCTAAACCATCTTAAGGTTCTGCTTTTCCCCCTTTTTAAAATCCATCTAGCCTTTAAGAAAAAAAAAAAACTTTTTAAATTCCATTTGAAGGCTGAAAAAATATCTTTAATCGCTGTTATGTAAAAAACTGGAAAATTGAATCTCGAAATAATTATTGATGTAAAGGGGGAAAATGATTGGAATTAATAACGCTTATATTGCAATAGGTTAAATTATTTAATCTCTTTTTATGAATATACATCGGGAATAACTTATTTTACAGATGTTCGTTCATGACATCTAGAAACAACAGAATCACTCTTCCCCCCCCCCTTCCGTGCTTTTCTAGTGAATATAATTTAATTAACTCATTTTAGGACAAGCATAGAAATGTTACAAAATGCCTTATTATTTTCATTGAAATAAGCCTAAATTACATTTATTATACGATGAAAGAAGCCTAAATTACATTTATTAAGATACGATGAAATAAGCCTAAATTACATTTATTAAGATACGAAGCAGGATTCTCGCTTGGAAATTAATATTTATTTAAGAAACAAAATGCACCATTGGCCTACATGCACCATTGGCCAAATCATTCAGTTTGTTTTATATTTATTTTATTTACAGAACTTGAGACTTTAACTTAACGTAAAAGCATATAAGTAATCAAAAATGGAATAATTATTATACTTATGTATGTAATTAGAATATATGTAATTAGAATAATTATTCAAAACGTCGAATTTTTTAATAACAGTTTCACGTTAAAAAATTAGGGTTAGTTTCCAAACTTCTCAATGGAAAGTGTTTACTCCAATTGAATTACTAATATTTTACAGGTGTCTTCTGAACCTTTGACAAAAAGCAGAAAAATGAAATTAGTGAAAATTATAATTTATTAAAAAATTATATTATAAACAAAAAAGTGCAAAATTGTTTAGCAAAAAATTCCTTCGCTGTTGATTTTCAAAATAACTTTTTTTTCTTCAAATATCTAATTATACATTCAAAACATATCAAAATAAATTTCGAAAAGCCAACTTAAAGATAAATTTTTACATATGATAAATTTTTACATATTCCTTATTGAAATATAAATGTTGGTGCCCTGCAGAATCTGCCTTTACTTACGCGAACTATCTTAGTCAAATCTTCAATCAACAACAATCACCGATTTAACAATCTTCAAATAATAAATTTATAATAAAAACGATTTCAGGAAAAAAAAGTTACTTCTAAATTAAAAAATTGCTTACTTATAAAAGAACACATATCTTTTTCCATAGTTTTTTTTTTAAATTGAAATAAGAGATCACTCTTTTTATTCGAAAATAAATTATTTAAGTGCAAAAATAGAAGTTGTCATCTTGCAATATGGGCATATTTAAAAAGAAAGCACGTTTTTTTTTTCTTCTGCTAATAACATTCTTGTTATTTCGTATAAGGAAATTGAATTTATATCATTTTAAACAACTAGCAATTGAATGATGTAGGATGCTATAAGGCCATGTGCTTACTTTATTCAACATAAGTTTTTAACACTCTTAAAACAATCGATTTAGTGTTAATATCAGTACCTTGAACCATAATAACGTGCTAACTTGCTGCTACCTCAATGAGGTCTTAAAGAAACCATGTTTAAATTTAAACGGAACTATACTATGGAATAATAAGTAGATGAATGATTTTTTGATGGATTAAATAGATTGAAAATTAACACTATTACTAAAATAAGATTAAAATTCCCAACTGTTTAAAAAAAATTATATTTTGATTTTTTTCTTATTTTAAAAAATTTTATTTCACATGTTTCTTCTTTTCTTGGAAGAAACCTATTATTATCAAGAGAATTTCATTCGTACATTAAAAACTATTCAAATAATACAATACAATACATTGTAAACTATACTACATAAAATACAATACATTGAAAACTATTATTTCACCAACTGAAATCACAAATGGTAAGTTTTTCTTATATCGTAATATTAGAGATCCTTAGAATATTAAAGATTCACAATTTTTTAAATATTGACGCGTTAGTAAATTTTCCAGTTTCAAATCCTAGAGATGAAAAGAGTTTTAAAAGCTTAAGCAGGAAATTCCTTCACACTGATAAATCAAAAGCAGGAGTTTGACAAGCTACTGAGCACACATACACACTTAATTGAAACCATTAAGAAGATAACCAAATAGCGGATACAGGACTCAGCATTTAATTGGCGTAGCTCATCCAGATGACCAATCAAAAGATTGACAACGGGGATATTATCCATCTATCTCTCGTCCGTCTGGTTTTCAAGTAAGGGACACACATTCTTGAATAAGATCGATCACTTCCTTGTAATTAATTCTTGACCTTAAAAGTGATTAAGAATATTCAAAATATTCCAGGGGAATAAAACATAATCCTTTTTCGAAAAACAGGATTTCAATTTATCTTTACCGATCGTAGGTTGAAAAAAGTCGAACAGTGGAAGTTCATTTAATGCAATTTTGCAGCTGCATCTTTTTTATAGCTACTTATTAAAAAAACATTTAAGAAAATTAGATTACGAACAAGCGGGAACTATTTGCAAGCGATTCAATCAATAGGCTTCAATCTTCATAAGGGGTTAAGTTGAACAGTGACTCGATTCAAATTAAATCATAGTATAGTGTAATCAAATTTAGGGTTTAACTGTAGTAAGTATAAAATTGCTCCGTATTAATGTTTAGAAATTTAATTTTAAAGATTTAAATCATAGTATACTGTAATCAAATTTAAGGTTTAACTGTAGTAAGTATATAATTGCCCCGTATTAATGCTTAGAAATTTAATTTTGAAGATTTAAATCATAGTATAGTGTAATCAAATTTAAGGTTTAACTGTAGTAAGCATAAAACTGCCCGTATTAATGTTTAGAAATTTTAAAAGATTTTAAGGTTTAACATGCTCCACAATTTTTAAACGTGTAGTTTTTCTATTCTCCAAGTCTCAATTTTTCAATAAAATTTAGTATATTAATAGGAAGATTTTACATAGCGCTATGTGTCTCCCGTTATGCTAATTTACTACAATCCAGCGCCTTTAACGACTCGTACGCTCTTTTGGAGATTTTTCTCTTGGTTGAAGTTGGTCGCAATTATAACGAAAGCTTTTATTTCTTTTAAAATTTATTAACTGAACTATAAAAGAGTATGGTATCATTTTTTATTTTTTTTATTTAAGAAAATGTCAAACAGGAGAACAGGTCGTTAAACGCCGCTGGATTGGAAAATCGCTCTCGCTATTTGATCGTCATAGCACCTGTGCGAAAATCGCACTATCCATCACATCATCGCTAAGGGTTAGGAAATAAGATTAACGTTATGAAAAATCTTTCTATCATTAAAAGTTAATAAATCAAACGGTAAATTTTAATTAAAAAAAAAAACTTTTCTTTTTTTAGGGAAACTTTCCTCTTCATTTGAAAAATCTGAAAAACTTTGTATGTAAAGCAAAATTTCAAGATCAAAGACAATATCAGATTTAAAGTTAAAAGATATCCTTCAATATTTTTTAACTTTAAATCTTTTTAACTTTATTTAAACCATACTAAAATATTTGTTGAGTAAGTTATTTAAATCGTAATATTAATAAGATTTTAGATGGGAAATTTTTGACCTTCCCGTAAATAGCACTGATTTATTTCCTTCAGATTAAAATTACGCCACAGTAAGCCCCATTTCCATGCCTTGCAAGAGGCAATAGCAGACTACACTTACCTTCATGGAGAAGATGAACTATGATTTCTTTGAAAAAGGTACGGCTGAAATTGAATGAATACACTCGTAATCTTTTCTAGGTGGAATCATAATTCATGTTTCTTAATTTTGATTATACGACTCTCTGCAAACATGGTTCAAATTGACACCATGTTAAGGATGCAGCATATTTACTCGGTATAAAGGTTCAAGATGCCGATATTATGGTTTAACGTTGCACCGATTATTTATGTATTTATATGTAAATTTTAAATAATCTGGTTACAACTTAATCACCAAAAAGACCGTTAGAATTAAATACAACCCAGTAACTGAATCATTTTTGTGGTTAGAGAAATAAAGAAAAAAAAAAGATTTTGATGATATTCGATTAATCGCGACACTGAATTAATGAGTTATTGTAAAAAAAAGTTAGCCCTTACTGTGGTTCTTTGAAAAGAAAAGTATATCTATTCGCTTTTTATAAAATGTGATAAAATTGATTGGACTTGAAACAGTCAAATCAGTTGCAGAAGATATAAAAATTTCAGATGCAAATGCATGTGTTGTATGAAGATGAATGTCAAACCATCATAAATAGTAACATTTAATCTTTAAAAATATTTTTATTTATGATCTAACTGCAATTTATGTTGAGTTTTAGAACTTTTAACATTTTGTTTTAACACTTTTAACATAGGCTTTTCATTTACGCGCTTTTTAGGTTGGCCCCTTCGGCCGGCGTATAAGTGAGAATTCACTGCGTATGTATTTATAAATATATTTGAAGAAAATATTATAAGATGAAGTAAAATAATTTATTACCTCATAAGAGACCGAAAAGTATTAACACGAAATAACAAAGCACTACTGGAAATAGCAACCTAGCTATATAAGAGGAAATATATTAAAAAAGTAAATAAAATGGGAGCACTGACAAGCAAGGTAGCATCGTCAGAAGGGTATTACCAAACAGTCCGTGAATATTCTTGTAGCTGTGACATTAGCATCTTGGCGATGTCGACAACTTGGAATATTACACTTATATCTTATACTTTTTCTTCGATTTTCATTACTTTTGTATTTATTTATTTCAAATTATATTTTATATGTATATAAAGAAAGTAAGAAATATAGCCTTACCTTCCATGTCGTCTGACAGATTATTTTGTTGTACCAGGTCGTAGCTGAACTCAACGGTATCTTTCCTCAGAATGTCCAAAGGAGGGTCTGCTTCGATATACAGAGCAACTTGACCTCTTCTAGACGTAAAGCACCTATGGAGTCCTTCTGGCTTACCGTCACCGGCCTTGTAAAGGAGAAACAGCCTAGTCTCCCCTTCCAGATAGAGTCTGGCTCCGGTAGAGTTGGCCGCAATTCGTATGCAGCCCTGAAAGCCCGAGAGAGGTGGCCTCAGCAGGGCCCTCAGAGCCCCTCTAGGGTAATGCCACTTGATATGTCCTTGCGTACAACGAAGGTATATAGGGTGTACTCCTTGAGAACTTTCTTGTAGGAGACCACTGAAAAAGAAATTGAGTGTCAAAGGTTGCCAAACATTAAAAGCTTTTAAGAAAAAAATTGAGTTGTTTCTATATAATCTCTTATATCTTATCAATTAATGTAATTTTAGATGACAATGTTTGAACAAAATGGATCTAACAATTCAAAAAGAAAAGTTTTTTTTATAAATGTTATACATATACAGTCGAACCTCGCTAACTCGAACCTCGATTTCACGAATTTTTCGATATCTCGAAGAAAAAAATATTCCCTTCAAATTTCCTATACACTCAATGTTAAAAGAAACTTGATTTCACGAATTTTTTCTTCTAATCCCTCGATAAGTTGAATTTTCTTTCTCCATAAATAGAGCAGATTTTTTTTCTAAAATTAAAAAAATATTCAAAAAAAAAATTAAAAAATTTTAAGAATGGCTGACAAGGCATGGAATGATGTGTCTTCCTCTATGATAATGATTGGCTTTAAAAAGTCTGGATTCATGAAAGATCACAAAAGTAGTCAAACAATCAATATCGTTAACTCTCACCGAAAACGATTGGAACAGATTGACCGGACTCATGAAGCTTGATGACATGGAATTTCATGACTTTGTAAACGTAGATGATGCACTAACAGTGTGTGGTCAGTGGGATGACAATGATATCATCGCTCAAACGAAAGCTTCTTGTGAACTATCAGAAGAAGAGGATGAAAAAATCGAAGATTTACCGCACAATGTTACGAACAAACAAGCACTTTCTGCAGTGGACACTGTAAGGAGATTTACTGAGAGGCAGCCGAATATGTCAGAGGAGACATTTAAAGCTATAGTCCACTTAGAAAGTGTTATAGACAAACTTTCTCACATCTCTAAACGAAACAACAATTGAATCTTTTTTTAAATGAAAGTGTAAAAAGTGTTTTCAGAATAAATATGGAATAGTAAATAAGGTATGTAAAGAGCATTTTTCTTTATTCTACCATCGATAGCATGCGATTTTCGATAATTCGAATTTTCGATATCTCGAATTTTTTCTCCTCTCCCTTCAAGTTCCAGATATCGAGGTTTGACGGTATATATAATTTTTTTTGTGTATACATTTATCTTAGATAAACGTGTACAAGAAGCTTTCTAATTCGCGTAATTGCAGAGATTTTTCGAAATTTACGAAGAAAGTAAAAACAGCGTGATGGAACTCCAACTATTCGCTTACTGAACTTGATTATGGAGAGCTTATTTTCCAGATTGCGACTCTCATCTACGTATCGAGGGTAAAAAAAAAATCGCAATCTCTCAAAAATCGCAATTTTAATCTTTATCGCTAATTAATTTCTTACTCCACAAACGTGCCTGATCATAATTCATAGACAAAATCAGAGATTCGACAATAGCTATGGATTACATTTTAGCGAGGAAAAAAATTAAATATTCATGTTAATTTCTGATTTTTGTAAATTGGGTTTGGACCATCCTAAACTGGTTTTGCACAAAACGCATAGGATATCTTGCCTAAAATCTATAATTCTGAAAATAGTTTTAACACTTATAAATCCTCCAAATTATCCCCGTGCACTTGTTACGAAAAAGTAAAAAGAAATAATTTATCAATTGAAATCCTACAGTTAATTGTATTTTTAAGAATAAATTAAAAAATAATTTAACGCATAAAGTTTTATATATCTATATTATTAGAGTATACAATATATGTATATAGTATTATATTTTATACTTCAGTAAGTTCATAATAGTTTTGAGTAATTGAACTAAATATTTTTAGTTGCCATAGTTTTTGCCATTTTCATATTTACACAAAAATATCTGCTTAAAAACCAATATTAATTTTAATGAAAGGTCTGCTTTCGTGAAACACTGTGAAAACCTACTCATAATCTTGTGAATAAACGGAAATAATTTCTTTCTTAAACGAAAATAAATAAATAAATGCGAAAACTATATCTTTCCTTTAATGAGTTTTAATTTCAAAATCATGAATAATGCATGCTATCAACTCTGGTTTTCAAAAGAAAAAAAATTGTAAAGGGACTGTAACTGAGGTAAAATATTTTATGAAGGGTTTATTTTAACAATATTTTTGAAGGGTCCGTACTAACGATGAAAATTTTGTTCAAATTTCTCAAACTAATTGACCTGACAAAAACCAATTATTTTTAATGAAATATATTTTAAAGATACACATCCACATTTAATCGAGAAAGAGAGAGGGGGAGAGAGAGAGAGAAACCTAAAGGAAATTAATTAAGGTTAATTCCTAACGTCTTAAAAAAAATTTTGCCTAAGCATTGCAGTGGAGATTAATGGAGAAATTATTCAAGCATTACCAAATTATGTCACAAATGCTTTTCACTTTTAAAATATTGGGATTTTCATGGTGAAGTTTTGCGCCATTTTCGTGAATAGCATGGACATAACTTAACCTTGCTGTCATTAATAACTCAAGATTTTATTGACATTAAATGCGAAATTTGCCTAATCTCGATAAAAGTAAATAAATCAAAATTTAAAAGAAATAACGTCGACAGCCATTCTTTCCACAAAACGGACGACAGAAAAACTAACACTTTTATGAGCAAAAATTACAGAAGAACTCAACGTAAGGAAAAAGAAGAACAAAAAATTTAAACGAATCATTTATGATTTTGAAGAAGCCATAACAAAATCTTTTTCAAATAAATAACAATCGCATTCTGCAAAACATAAAAACAAATCGGTGAAATTGTTTTTCTTTCTTTCTCTCCTCTATGTAACTGAAAAATGATTGTTTAATGAAGAACTTCCTTTCGTCATTTCAAGGAAATCGAGCATAAAACAAATCGAAATCGTCTTTACTTAAATATATCAAATTTTTTTTAAAAAAATGATTTTTTTTTATGGCAGACGCGTTTAACTCGATTTCCTGCGAAAGATAAATTTAGTGCAGTAGCGAGAGTCAGTTAAAATTAAGCAGTAAAGTAAATATAAATTATACTATACAGAATATTTATGCTTTACAAAAATTTGTGGGACCCTATACACATTGCACGCCATCGCGTGTTAAACTGTCGGTTTCTTCACCTGTACTGCTATATATTATTTCAGTTTTAGGTCACAAACTTTAATTTTAAGACATTTGAACACTGTGAAAATTTTAAATAAGTAATTAACATAAGAATACAATAAAGATAAAATTCTATTACTTGAGTAATTTCAAACATTAACTGTAAGTCCATTAAGCGTAGCTAACTGCAGGACACTAAAGTGAAAACCAACTTACTTCTAACAGCGCATGCGCGAGGATTAAGTATTAATGGGAAGTGTTTGCCTGTTTATTTTTAATTCTATTGTCAAATCTTGGCTAAAATCGATACCTCAAGACGAATCACTTCTGTTAGCTTTTACAGCAATTGTATTCTTTTATTTCCACTGACATACACAGACGATAAGCAAAACATTAATAACAAGAAAAAGTCGTCTGGTTGCCTAGCAACCAGCCAGAGTTAGAATATTACAATTACAAGAGTTACCATCCGTGTTAAAAGAATTATCATTTGATTATTCGGGTAATTAATTCATCGTGTGATTTAAATGGCAAATGAGAAATATATTATGGATTTTGCAAAGCCCCCCCCCCGATTCTCTCAGCCCATCGACCCCCAATTCAATAGTTTCCCTCTCCTGGCTCTCGAAAACGGCTTCAAATATTTGATAACAGCGCAATTCACTTAAAATTTTTCGTTACTATAACAGTAAATTTAGAAGCTAGAAACCTGCAGGTTCATCGGCAAACTTTTAATTTTTGAACATAGTTCAAGCTGCACGTTTATGAAAAGAAACGTTACTTAAAATGGATTTAAAAAGTCGTGTTTAAGAAAATGGTTGCAACTAGGCATGCGCGTTTGAAAATTAATATTTAAAAATGCTGATTAAAAAAATAGGTAGCACAGCTCAAAGGCAGTTCGAAATGCGTGTTTGAGAGTTGTCACAAAAATGAACCGTTTTTGCTAAAAATTTATTCATTATTTTGAGAAAATAACAAAAATCATACATTGGTATGTTTAACTTGTATTGAAACGTCTGTTTTTTGCAAATGTGAAAAATCTACTCATTTTACGGTCCTGTTTTTGTGATCGGAAAAACATACAAAAACCATGTGATTCTAGGAATTAAAAGGTCCCCGCCTGAGCGTTAGTTTCGGCTTTTCCGAACTTTTAGCTGCAAGCCTTCCTGCATGAAAAAAAAAAAAAAAATCCCCCATGCTATTCGATGTATATTCAGAATAGTGCATATGAAGGAAATTAACCGCACAATTTCATGCAGAGATTCAACGTTAGTTCAATTTTAAATTATCTGATTCCGTTTTTCCAAAAGTTTTGCAGAGAGACCGTTTTTGAAGTAAAGTGTTTTGCGAAGTTTCATTGATAAATAATTTTGTGAAGGGTTCGTTAGAGAATCCAAATTTATCCTAGAATTACTGAATTTATGCTAGCTTGCCATGCGAGACTTGCTTGTCCAATGAGATTATTGCAACACTAACAAAATCAAATCCTTGCATTAAAAAATATCAGTGAAAACATAAAATACTAATAAAATAAAAAAAAAGGTTTATCAGTACCGATTTGCAGCATTCCATACGGTGATAGCTGATATTCCCATTTTTTATCACGCAATAGAAGATGTACGATAGGACAGCATATCCACTTTAAATGATTTGGGGATTTAAAAAAAAGAGGGGGGGGGGAGAGGATGACGACGACTTGTAATGTTGTTAGACTTTTCAGTTATAAAAAATTAAATTGTTCAAAATTTTTTTAATTCATACAAGTCACCTGTAAAATTATGTCAAAAGAGAGGAAGGAAGAAAGAAGGAGAGCTTTAAATCATTTTCAAGTGGAAAGAATGTCCACTTAAAAATAAAAGTGGACTTCAGTAAATGGGAAGGGCTAAGAAACTGGAGAAGAAGTAAAAAAAAAAAAAAAAAAAAATTGAGATTAGCAAGAACTGACATTTCTTGGAAGTTAAAAG